TATCTGTGAAAATGCAGTCCCTTTTGTAATTTGGTAGCCTTTTCTGCTTTATTTACTAAATAAAGCAAATAAATAAGTTGAATACCAAAGCCACAAGTATTTAGTCTCACAAGTATTGTAGAAATTTCGTTACAGATTCAGTACATTTTTACAAGGCTTTGGACAATAGCTAAGAGATAGGGAGTTATCTGTCAATATCGGTGGTGGGATTCAATTTTTTTTACTACCAGTTCTGTGGATGTGGCTTAGTGGGCGTGGTTTAGTGGGCAGGGCAGGGGAAGGTTACTGCAAAGTCCCATTCCCTCCCCACCCTACTAACTAACCTGTTTTCCAGCTCCGTTCTCCTGTGCAGGGCAACAAAAGAAGACCCAGCCGATCAGCTGAGACTCGGGAGATAGAGAATAGATGGGGGCGGGGCCAGTCAGAGGTGGTATTATTGCCAATTCTCTGAACTACTCAAAATTTCCACTGACAGTTCTCCAGAACTGGTCAGAACCTACTGAAACCACCTCTGGTCAATATGTTTCGAAGCACTAACGTATGCTATTGACGCTGCTTCTTCCCATTGAAGGCAGAGTTTGGGGGACAGTGGTAGATTCATATTAGGGAGAGAACCTGAGGTTCTCCAGCTCTTTTGAATTGCAACTTCCATCAAGTCAACTGCCTTGGCCAAGGGTGAGGATTGGTGGAAAATCAAGACAACCACAGGTTGTCTACTCTGTCTCCTAAAAGTAGCCTTGACTTACAACTGAGAATTGGAACCAGAATTTCCATTGCTAAGAAAAGAGGTGATTAATTGAGTCATTGCCCAATTTTATGACCTTTTTGCCATGGTTGTTAAGCAAGTTATTTCAGGTGTTAAGTGAATCATGTGGCGGTTAGGCAAATCTGGCTTCCTTCATTGACTTTGCTGGTTGGAAGATTGTTGGAAAGGGTGCAAAAGCCAACTGCCTGACACCAGGACGCTGTTAAAGTGTCATAGGTACATGTTGGTTGCCAAGCACCTGATCTTTGCTTAGAATAGAATAGAATAGAATAGAATAGAATAGAATAGAATAGAATA